CCGGTGATCCCTCCGCCTCAGCCTTCCAAGTAGCCGGAATTACAGGCATGCGCTACCATGCCCGGCTGATTTTTTGATTTATTGTAGAGATGAGGTCTCGCTGCCCAGGCGGGTCTCGAACCCGCGGGCTCAGGCAATCCACTCACCTCAGCCTCCCAAAGGTGCGGGATCACAGGCTGAGCCACCGAGCCCGGCACCCACGTGCCAACTTTTAAGGTCATATATCTTTAAAAATATATATATGTTTTTCACTTGATGGTTTTCCACTTGCAGGAGTAACATACATTTAATGTAGCAAGTGAAACTAGGTGTATAAAAGGGAAAATTAGTCACGTCCCTCCCCAGGGCTCTCTATTTTCATCATCCTGATGAAACCAGAGTTGTCTCAGTTGTATTTTGTTTAAGAAAGGTTTTTCAAACTTCCTCATTAGACAGCAATGAGGACTGTATATCAAGCCTTTACAAAGGTACAAAGGCTAATGATGAAGTTGATCAGTAATATGTCCTGTTTCCTAAAGAGCTGCCCTGGGCAATGTAGTGCAGCTCTTCAGGCAGGACATTGATGCAAATACAGTTGCTCTGGTTTCCAGTAATGAGCTCCCAAGCAGCCCTGCTGCCCAGAAGTGTTCGTCCATATGTACGTGTCTGTTATATTACATGCACACCTTTGTAACTTACTGTGGATACAGGAAAAGCCAATGTGGTGAAAAGCAGGTCTCTGAAGGCAGTTAGGAACTTAATGTCTTTTCTCCCTTTGATTCTTTTCAGCACATCATCCAGGCAGGCAACCCCATAGAAAACAGCCTGCAAGAGCTAAATTCATTACAACAAATGAGGGCATTTTAATTTGCTTTAATTAATACCTTTCTCACTGATGGAAAACTCCAGCCCTCTGGGAGCAATGATGATTTGAGAGGTTGGGGGCTATTGGGCTGTTTTGGTTGAGAGCCAATTCAAGGGCTGGGCTTCCAGCTCATTGGGTTCTGACCTTGCTCACTAAAACTGATTGAGGAAATTCTTTTAGGTAATACTATGTACAGTATTTAGTGTAATGGACTTGAGCTAAAATGGAAACAAAATAAAAAGTCAGCTTAAAGGAGAATGTGATGAAATAGATACCTTGATGGCACAGAGAGGGGAAGAACCACAAAACAGCTCAAAGGCAAAGAGCCAGATCCAGTGGTAGACATAGTCAGGCATCTCTCTGGGAAGAAAAATTAAGAAAAGTGCCTAGTGCTGAAATCTCACTAGGGAAGCCAGAATCGGGGTCAGGAGCACCATGATGAAGTTCTGTGCTTTCCTAAGATGCACAAAATGTCATCTTGCTTATCTGAGGGGGAAGTCAGTGTGTGTGATTCCTTAAAGTGGGTTCCTAAAGGTCTTCCAGGAAAAAAATCTGGCTGAGGCAGTGATTTAAATCCACTGTCAGAGAGCAAGGCATGACCTCTGGCGAGTTACTGAGTACTGCATGGTTCCCCAAGTAAACGAGAAGTAGAATCTTTTTCAAGAAGTAACATGACATCGAAGCCAAGCTTTGTCCATTCTTACTGTTTTGAACAGTCCTGTGGCTTCTAGCTCAAAGCCTGGTGAGTCACAATGATTGAGTTATGCTTGCATCAGAATCCATCCTAATCCTTGAAAGCTCTGGAGTGGTACTGGAGGGCCAGTCTAAACTCTGATGTTAGGATATGAATCAGGCAAATCTTGGAACCCAAGGAACTTGGGCTGGTGATTGATCAAGATGGCTGTTGGGGAACAACTTCTGAGTTCTGGACTCTGTGGAAGATCTAACGGAGCTGTCCGTGTGCTGCTCCTTGGTCTGAGGGGTTGGGCAGGAGAGGACCCAGAGGTGGGTCAGACCAGGACCACCCACCCACTGGGGAGTTGCTAGGGATGCAGGACTTTAGCCCCATTCCAGACAATGAAATCACAGTTCGAGAAACGGGGCCCAGGAACTTGTGTTTTTAGACAAGCGATCTCCATGAAAGCTGAAGTTATGGAACCACCAGATTAAACATAAATTTAGCATTCAGAATCTTATTGGCTACTCAAAGCTATAATAGCTGACTTTTATTTATCACTTGATATGTGCCAGGCACTGAATTAAGCATTTAATTCTCATAATAACCTTATGAGGTAAGTTATATTATTAACCCCCACTACTATCATTCTACAAATGAGAAAATTGAGGCACAGAGAGATTAACAAACCTGCCTGAAGTTTCATGTCTGGTAGATGCCAAAGCCAGAATTTGAAACCCAGAGTCTTATTCTTGAATTAGACTTTTAAAAATTAAAAAAAAAAATCAACAGGGTTCTAAGAATAGCTAGGATAAAGCATCGTGGGAGGCCAGAAGAGAGACAATTATTTTCCAGTGGGAGAATTAAAAACAACTTTGAAAAATACTGGTGCCGGATTCCTAGTCCCAGAGATTCTAATTTAATGGGCCTGGGGGAACGGCCTAGGCTTTGGAATTTTTTTAAAGTCCTCCCAGGTGTTTTTCTTCAGGGGCAGCTGAATTTGAGAACCACCTGCCTGGAGGAACTTTCCTTTGGAAATTCAAACCCTATATAGTCTTAGAGAGGTGAAACTGGAAAGATCCAGGTAGTTGAATCCTCAAGGTGGGATGGGATCACTGGAAAGAGAGATGGGAGAGGGAAGGGGTAAGATGAGAGAAGTAGGAATCAGGTGCTGGGGAAAGGCCCTCCTTTAAGGGACAGTAGGAAAAAGGGAGCAGTGGAGGTAACAAAGAATAATCAGTGGCGGAAAACCAGGAAGGTACAAAACCCCTGTGAGCTGGAAGATAGGAGAAACTTCAAACCAGAAGGCGGCATTTCAGGAAGGGGCTGCACAGTTTATTTATGTATTTATATATGCATTTATTTATTTATTTATTTTATTTTGAGTTGGGGTCTCACTCTGTCGCCCAGCCTGAAGTGTGGTGGTATGATCACAGTTCACTGCAACCTTGACTTCCTGGGCTAATGTGATCCTCCTGCCTCAGTCACACAAGCAGCTGGGACTACAGGCCAGGTTTGTGCCAACATATCTAGCTAATTTTTTATTTTTTTGTAGAGACAGGGTCTTGCTATGTTGCCCAGGCTGGTCTCGAACTCCTGACCTCAAGTGATCCTTTCAGCTCAGCTTCCCAAAGTCCTGGAATTACAGGAATGAGCCACCATGCCCAATTTGGACAAAGTTTTAAATGCCATGAAGGGGTTGTTGCCCCAATACTCCTCATTATTGTTGGTAACTTTGACAATCAGCCCCCTAAGGACTTAGAAAAAGTCTCCTCCTCTCTCTCTTCCCTACCAGCAGCCTCTCCTCATTCCTGGTTTCACTTCTAGCTGCCCAGGCCACAGCAGACTGCTGCTTTGGTTAGGAAAAGTAGGCTTGGTCCTGGGCCCCAGGTGAAGCAGATTGTACTGTTCTTTCAACATAGCTATTAGTCCCATCCTGAGCATCTGCCAGGTCTTCCCTCTTTGGGGAGAGGCTGCCTCCACCCAGCATGTGAAGGTCATGTGACCAGCTTTCCTTAGGCTGGAGCTTCCTAGACTCAACGTGAGTCAAGCTTGTCTGAGTTTTCTCTTGCCTCAGAATGTGGAAATCATATTGGGGCAAAGAACATATTGCTCAGCTCCTACAGGGCTTCTCCATCAATACCGATTTGTTCCACACTGCAAACTTTGCCAGTCACCTCTCCCCTCCCCACCCTCGGTTCACAGGTTATTTCACAAGCATATGTCACACAGGCATCTTTAGTGTCCACTTCTGTGTGCAAGGCAGCCCTGTCGCCACCAAGCTTACTCACTGTGCCATAATCTGTATCAACAAGGAGCATTTGTGTAGCCCCAAGTAGGTGCTCAGGAGGGAGGCGCTAGGGAGTTGCCAAGAGAAAGAAAGAGGTGAGAGCTAGGCATAAAGGAGCCATGGGGGCAGAGCTGGAGTAGAGCAGAGGGAGAAGCTGGAAGTTCGCCGGGAGGCTTCCAGAAGGGCGTCAAGGGCAGGTTTAATCAGCGCGCATCCAGCTGCAACAGTCTGCTCATTCTCCAAGGACAATGCAATGCAGTGTTTATAAAACATGCACAAAGAGAACAATCAAGGGGGATAATGTCAGCTGTTATGTGCTAAATTGTGTCCCCTCCACAAATAGGTGATTAAGTTAAAACAAGGTCATGAGGGTGGGTCCTAAACCACTGTAACTGGTGTCCTTATGAGAAGAGGAGTTGAGGACACAGACACACACAGTGGGAAGACCACGTGAGGACACAGGGAGAAGACGCCATCTCAAGCCAAGGAGAGAGAGACCACAGGAGAAAACAACCCTGCTGACACCTGGATATCAGACTGCCAGTCTCCAGAAGTGTGAGGAAATAAATTTCTGTTGTTTAAGCTTATAGTCTGTGGTGTTTTGTTATGGCAGCTCTAGCAAACTATGCAGTAGCATTAAGATAGCACAGTAACAATGGATCTTCTTTTAAGAATCTTGCAACAAAATTACTGTCATTTGCATTTCACAACTGTTTTGGCTTCCCAGGAAAGCAGACTTAATGGTATCTTCTTGTTCAAAGTTTATTTCAGAGCTGCTGCTCCCTGATTTATCTTTTCTCCTGGTTCCTCCCTAATTCGGCTCCCATTGAGTGTGTGTGCCTTTTCCTGAAATGCCACTGTTCTAAATTCGTTAGCTGTCGTTCGTTTCTGTTGCTAGCTGACAAACTTACCACCTGCAACAGAGCTGAATTGACGTTTTTTAATAACTAATGCAATTTAAGAAACCAGAGCTAAAGGATATTTAGTTTTTACATTAATGTGTCTTCACAAATCCACAAAAGTCTTCAAATCGTGGAAACTCAGCCTTTCAAGTCATCGAGTTTATTTTCCTGCCTTTAAGCCAGAACTCTCTTAAACTACCTCCAGAAAATGAGAATTTCTTCTATTTAAAAAGTAATTCCAGAGGGGGAGATTCCAAAAGCTTCCTGAGCAAGACATTCATTACAACTCTTACTAGATGAGTCAAGTAACCCAACACCCATCTCAGGACCCTGCCTGACTCAGCCAGGCGGGGACTTCCTTATTCTTCTCCTTTCGCATGATGCAATATCTGCAGTGAAAGACTATTCAGGAATAAAGTGGCACATGAGGGCTGTGATGAGTACTTTATATAATGGTGGTGGTTGTGTATGGGGCAGGTAGGAAGGAGCCTTTGCCAAGCATTCATATGGAATGTACTGTTTCAGTAATCCATATGCATGTAGTTTAAGCAAGAAACTGAGATTAAAGAATGAAATAAAGAACAAAGAGAGGAAATAATGTGAAGAACACAATTTGGAATAATGATGAGAAAAAAATGAAATGAAAAAAGAACACAGAGGGACCGATTGGAAAGAAACATAAAGATGCTTGGCCAATGCCACGTAACTGAGGATAGCCAGCTTCAGTTCAGCCGTAGGGCAGATATCTTATCAGTGGGATGGGTTCCCTAGAAAGGGACTCCTGCCTGTTAGAACCATGTTATGGTCATTTGTTCACTCAGTCATCATCCATGGAGTGCTGGTAAGGTAACAGAGATTATATTAGATGTAACACAGGCCAGGCCAGGCTCTGTGTTAATTGCTTGTATTAGAAATAAGGGAAAGAAGTGGAAGAAGAGGGAGGAGGAGGAGAGGAACGAAGAGGAAGAGGAGGAGAGAAAGAAAGAGGAGGAGGAGGGAATGAAACCTTTTCTGTACATTTACTATTTTAAACGACAGCCCCTTGGGGAACAGCATCTGAGCTCCCCAGTGTGCCTGCAGAGTGTCCACTGAAGAATGTTC